TTTTTTTTTTTTTTGAAAAATAATAGTAAACCCAACTTTATACGCCAAATAAAATACCTAAATTAAATTCCATTAATATTAATTAAAATTAATAAAGAGAGTGGAAAAAGTTTAACTTTGTCTAACCTAATCATGTCATTAAAGCTCGTAATCTTGTTAAAGTTAGAGATCAGTATAATTAAAATCAATACTTTCGATCCAAAGGTCAGACACTCTAATCTACTAAACGGATGTTAATTCAACTAAAATATGTACTTTTGATCGAGCGGTAGAAGATTCAAATCGTAGGTGACTAATTGAACTAAAATTTATAATTTCGATCAAGAGGTCAGAGATTCAAATCTGCTAGAAATAGAGATCAATCCGACTAAAATCTATAGTTTTGATCAACAGGAGAAAGATTTAGATCTTAATCAGACTAAAATAAGTATTTCGATTAAGAGGTTAGAGATTCGAATTTCTGAACTCGGCTTAACAACGGGCATGAAATAAAATTCTTTAAAATATATATATATTTTTTTTTGGTATATACTTGAAAATATTCAAAATTATTAAAATTATATCCCACAAAAATTAAATGGTGACCTTATATTAATCATTTTTAATGTTATTTACCCTCATAGTTCCTAGTGGATTTTGAGGGACCCAATGCAAAATTTTGAATAGTAACCCAATTAAAAAAGTAACGAGGAAAAATAACTCGAAAACGGTGGGCTAAAGAGGGATAGAAAATTATTGTGAATGTGGTGGTTATATCGTGGCAGTCTCTTCTAATTGTTAGATGAAAGTGTCCCACATTGGTTAATTTAGGGAATGGTCATCGGTTTATAATCTAAGAATACACTCTCCATTGGTATGAGGCCTTTTGGGAAGCCCAAAGTAAAGCCATGAGAGCTTATGCTCAAAGTGGACAATATCATACCATTGTGGAGAGTTGTGTTCGTCTATCACTAATTAACATGCTTTAGTTAGGAAACTGCATGGATCAATCACGTGGTTTAGCAGGTCCTCCAATTTGTTATGCGAATTGCAAAGGCCTTCCCACCGAGCGAAGTTCAAACCTCACCTAAGGGAGAAGCAAATTGAAAACCAGTCTCAAATCCCTTCCCTTCGCAATTGAAGGTGAAAGTGGAAAAAAGACGACAAAACCCTTTTTCTTGCTCGTCTCTAGTAGCCGATCGAGTTTCCTCGTCCCCCTCCCACTTATTGATTAGGGAGAGGAATGAGTGCTAAAGGACTCGAGCGACTCTCCATAATGACGAAGAAACTCGATCGGCTACTAGAAACGAGGAAGAGGTGAGCTACTCAAGATACGTAACAGATGGCTGAAATAGAAAAACAACTTAGTTTATGGCACGAGGTGAGCAGCCCCTTTCCTTTCTAACCTCATCATGGTACAACAACTCTTTATTTTGGCTCGTTTTATTTTAATAAAATTTTAAATTAATCATTAAATATAGTTAATCTTCATCCGTGTTCTTAAAATCGAAAGGTTGATAGGAAACCTCGGATAGGGGTTAATTTAAAATTTATTAAAAATACAGGTAATAAACAGCAAAATAGTAATTTTCATAAATTTAAAAATTTAGAGAAAGAGAGAGGGACAAATATTCTTATAATTGTTTAATCCAAACATGTATTAGATGATGATTTAGGCCAAGTGGGTTGTCCCACCTTTTATTACCCACAAAATCTCCACCGTTGGATCAATTCTTCTTGTGCTTATATATACTCTCTTCTCCCTCTCTTCTCCTCTCAAACACTTCCACCCCTCCACTTTTTTGGTGATTTCCAACATCATTTTGCATTAACTTCTTTAAACTCAAACCTTCAATTCTCCATCCATGGCTTCCCTTCCATCGTTCGAGGATCAGGTGCGTTCGATCTTGTTCATCGTTACCCAAATCCCGTCTCTTCTTCTTCCTCTTTCCTAAGCTTCCTTCTTGTTTTTTGTGGACGTGACAATCTTTCGTGAAACGTTTTGTAATTGTTAGGGTAAGTTGAAGGAAGAGATTGCTGCAGTAGAAGAGTTCACTCTAGACGGAACGGTCAACTATCATGGTCATCCTGCAGTTCGATCAAAATCCGGCTCATGGGTTGCAGGAATTATAATTCTTCGTGAGTTACCTCTTGTTATTTGATACTTTTTTTATTTAGTATAAAGATAGTAAGAGATGGGAATCGAGAATCAACGACTTTAGGAATGATTTTTTAAATTATACTTAGATGGTCGAACGTGGAAGAATGTAGGAGAAAGTAAGGTTAATTTTGAAAATGAAATGAAACATAAAAAGATGTGACAAGATACGAAGATATAACCAATAGAAAGAATCAATAATGTCTCGAACTTTAGGTTAGATCGATGTATTTAATTTACGTGTTTATATTTACGTGTGAAAAAGGTCACGTAATGAAATTGAAGGCTGAAATTTGGCGACCAGATTGATTGAATATTTAAAAAAAAAAAAAAAAAAAAAAAACATTTATGATATTGAAAAGAGACTCAACAAACAAAGTCTTGTCTTGAAAGTGTGTTTTTTTGAGAGTGATTCATTCTCTTTTGGACAAAGCCATAAATGCCAATTATTATATTAAATATTTTTTATTTTAAATTTTTTAATTAAAAAAATAAAAGATTTAAGTAATATTAATTAAGGGTATATTTTTTTCAAAATAAAATTTAAATTTTGGGCTAAATTTACTCTTTTTTTTTTTTTAAATTTTTAATGCTATATAATATTTGAAAATATATTATTAAATAAGATAATTATATAAATAATTATAAGGTTTAAATTAAATAAATTTGTTTTTGTCCTATTGTACGGACTGATAGCAAAGGGCTAAATTTTTCTCTTGGTCCAAAACGCTGCCACGTGGCAGCATTGGATGGTGGGAAAAGACTTGAGCCCTAAATTTTGGGCCTAAAGGGAAATGGGCCCCAGCCCACATTATTTGACGTTGAGTTCCGGATGAAAAGGGCATTTAGGTGGCAGCTTGTGAGTGGTGGGTGACGGCTTTTTAATGACAGCCTGATCAAGTTGTTAAATACAAGAAAAATAAAATAAAATTTAAAAAAACATTGATAAACTGTACCATCCATTTTGAACCACAGTGCACTTGCCTGTCCCAGCTTGGGATCTCAACTTGGGCAATGGAAAATAGGGTTTTGAATTAGAAAGGTAATAACTAAAATAGACTATTCGATACGTTCATGTTCACATCCACGTCCATGTCCACGTTTTTTTAAACCTAACACAGTTGTCTGGTGCTACGACAAGACGTTTCATGTTTACGACGTCTTTGCTTTTCCTTTTTCTCGAGTGATCTAAGTATTCAAACAACTGATAGTAGTCATCTAAGTTTAAGGCTTTCTCGTTGTTCGAATATCTGACTTTGTTTAAACCAGTTGAAATAGGTTTAAACCAGTTGATTGTATCTCGTGGGCCAATGAAAAGTCCAATGATACCTTAATTGTTTATCTTGTGCATAAAGTTTTCTAACTATGATTCATTCATGCCAGTGAACCAAGGGTTGGCAACGTTGGCATTTTTTGGAGTCGGAGTAAACTTGGTGCTATTTCTAACTCGGGTTTTGCAACAAAGCAACGTTGATGCGGCTAATAATGTCAGCAAATGGACCGGAACTGTTTACATCTTCTCTCTCGTGGGAGCATTCCTTAGTGATTCTTATTGGGGCAGATACAAAACCTGTGCCATCTTTCAAATCATTTTCGTCATTGTAAGTCTTTCTTAAAATCCTAGTTTATATGTTGAACCAATTTGAGCATAATTCAACCCATTTTCAAATTTTTGTGCTAACTTGGTCCAAAAATGGCAGGGCCTAGTGTCATTATCACTCTCCTCCTACCTCTTCCTGATCAGACCCAAAGGCTGTGGCGATGAACACACGCTCTGTGGAAGTCATTCCAAAACCGAAATTTCCCTCTTCTACCTTTCCATTTACCTCACAGCTCTTGGCAATGGCGGCTATCAGCCCAACATCGCCACCTTTGGCGCCGATCAATTCGACGAAGAGGATCAGAAAGAGGGCCACTATAAGGTCGCTTTCTTCAGCTACTTCTACCTTGCCCTAAACCTCGGATCGCTGTTCTCCAACACCATTTTAGGGTTTTTTGAAGATGAGGGCATGTGGGCTCTTGGGTTCTGGGTCTCCGCCGGGTCCGCCATTGCTGCTCTGCTCTTGTTTCTTGCCGGAACTCCGCGGTACAGGCATTTCAAACCCTCTGGAAACCCTCTTACGAGAGTTTGTCAAGTCGTTGTCTCCGCCGCGAAGAAATGGCGGGTTAGGGTTCCATCTGGAGGAGAGGGGTTGTTTGAGGATAATGAGAAGCAAAACCCTAACAATGGCTGCCGGAAGATTTTACACACTAATGGATTCAAGTAAGTGAGATTTTTCCATTGCTGAAGTGAAATTTGTGTTTCTGTCCAATTTATATCAGATTTTTAAGCATTCCATTAAAAATGTGAATACAATATGAAATCTATCTGAACTTATCCACTTTAGCTTTTAGGTTGGGGATAGTATAGCTTAACTTGGCTTTAGCTGAACTTTGGNTCCTGAGTTTTAAGCACTCTGTTTTGTGTTCTTGTTCTGTTTTGCAAAAGCTTTTCTGAAGATATCAAAACAGAACAATCTCTTAAGAATTGTGTTTCCTTAGTTTGTTGTCATAGCATTTCGGAGACGTAAATGGTACCCACCCAAGCCACTACCAGTAGATATTGTCCTCTTTAGGCTTTCTCTCAAGGTTTTAAAAACGCGTATACGAGGGAGAGATTTTCATACCCTTATAAAGAATGTTTCCTTCTTCCTCCCAACCAGATCCCACCCCCACTCGTTCCATTCTCGAATTAATATGGGACACCCCAATCCACCCTCCTTCGGAGCTAAGTGTTCTTGCTGGCACATCGCCCCATGTCCACTCCCTTCGAGGCTGAGCCTCCTCGCTAGCACATCACTCGGTGTCTGACTTTGATACCATTTGTAGCCGTCCAAGCCCACCGCTAGCAAATATTGTCATCCCCTTTGGGGCTAGTGCCTCCATTGGCACTCGTTCCCTTCTCCAACTAATGTGGGACACCCCAATCCACCCTCCTTCGAAGCCCAATGTCCTTGCTGGCACACTGCCCCATGTCCACCCCCTTCGAGGCTGAGCCTCCTCGTTGGCACATCGCCCGGTGCCTGACTTTGATACCATTTGTAACCGTCCAAGCCCACCGCTAATAAATATTGTATCTTTGGGCTTTCCCTTTTGGGCTTCCCTTCAAAGTTTTTAAAACGTGTCTGCTAGGGAGAGATTTCCACACCCTTATAAATAATGTTTTGTTCTCCTACCCAACCAAGTTGGAATTTCACATATAGTTTTAAGATGGTTACAAAGACTGCTATTACAACTTAAAAACTTCACAACAATCTGCTATACTAGAAACAAAAATGGTTACAAAGACTGTTTTCTAAGTTATTTCCCCTTGTTCTTAACAACTGCAAAAATCACAGGTTCTTGGATAAAGCAGCCTACATTTCCTCAAGGGATTCAAGTGATAAAGAGCAAGGAATGATCAACCCATGGCGCCTCTGCCCAATCACACAAGTAGAAGAAGTAAAATGCATTCTAAAACTGATGCCAATCTGGCTCTGCACCATCATCTACTCAGTTGTCTTCACCCAAATGGCCTCTCTCTTCGTCGAGCAAGGTGCAGCCATGAAAACCACCATCTCGAACTTCCACATCCCACCTGCAAGCATGTCAAGCTTCGACATTCTCAGTGTCGCCCTCTTCATCTTCCTCTACCGTCGCGTCCTCGATCCATTTGTTGGAAAACTGAAAAAATCCAGCTCCAAAGGCCTGACCGAGCTGCAACGGATGGGGGTCGGACTAATCATAGCTGTAATGGCAATGGTCTCAGCAGGCATCGTCGAGTGCTATAGACTCAAATATGCCCAAGCTGACTGCACACACTGTGAAGGATCAAGCTCCTTGAGCATCTTTTGGCAAGTTCCACAATATGCACTGATTGGAGCCTCTGAAGTTTTCATGTATGTGGGTCAGCTTGAATTCTTCAATGCACAAGCTCCCGATGGCCTCAAGAGCTTTGGGAGTGCGCTCTGCATGACATCAATCTCTTTAGGTAACTATGTGAGCAGCTTGTTAGTGACAATGGTGATGAAGATTTCAACAGAGGATGACATGCCTGGTTGGATCCCTGGCAACCTCAACAAGGGTCATTTGGACAGGTTCTACTTTCTTCTTGCTGCCTTGACTGTCATTGATTTTGTGATTTACGTTGCCTGTGCTAAATGGTATAAATGCATCAAATTGGAAGACAAATATGAACAAAATGAAGAACTAGAAAGCTTCAAAGTCTGAATATGAACATTCCTGATATCCCTTTGAAATAAGAGAGAGAAGGGGGGG